AACTGTTTTCACTGCACACATTTTTTTCTGGGTAAGAAGAGGGCTGCCCTCTGCTGCTGGTTTTCTACAGCTACAGTTTTTTTTTCTTCAAATAATCCAGTGGTGTTTGATCTTTTCTCTACAGGCCATCTATCCTGCATGTTTTAGATGTTTGTTCTGTTCAAACCTGCTTGATTTAAACCAGCGGGTCACTGAAAGGCTGCTGCACGACTAGAGGATCTGCTGCTACATGACTCAGGTGGTTTGGCACAGAACAACAGCTAGGACGTTCTGGATGGATCAGAACTGGAGACCTGAACTAAACTAATACATCTTAATTTAACTTCTACTGAGTTTCCAGAGAAGTTCCCACACAAAAGGTGGTGAGAATCTATTTATAACATCTGTGATTCAATCCTTCTGAGATGAGATGACTCACTTGAAAAAAGCAAAAGGGAGAGTTCAGATATTTTGAAGTTGCGACTCTGTGGAAATATCTCACCCGATGGAAATAGCCCCTTGAACACAGCCTCTGTTTGGAGAAACTGATTTCTTCTGATCAGATAAGCCAACTTAAAAAATTGTGGGGAAAAAATCTGCCAGAAGGGGTAAGCAAATTTTACTTGGCTTGAATTCTTAAAACTAGCTAATCTTTAAACCAGCTAATTCATCTAGCATTAGATTATTTTGTTAACTTCTGCTTACCACATTGGCAGATGTTTTACTAAAAACAGGATTTTTTTATCATATTTAGGAATATATCTTTTTTAAAGCCCCAGTGTGTAAAAATATTTGACTCCGTAGTGCCACATTCAGAGGTATGATAAATGATAAATGGCCCACACTTGTATAGCGCCTCTCAGAGTAAGGACTCCAAAGCGCTTTACACTACAGTGAATCATTCATCCATTCACACACACATTCACACACTGATGGTGATGAGCTACGATGTAGCCACAGCTGCCTTGGGGCGCACTGACAGAGGCGAGGCTGCCGAGCACTGGCGCCACCGGTCCTTCCGACCACCACCAGCAGGCAAGGTGGGTTAAGGTACTGCAGCTACAGTAGTCCACACACATCAAAAAGGCAATGTGAAAACACCACACACCAGCTTTCAACCATCTGAAATTTTTATTTACAGTTTCTGCTGCTTCCTGCAGTCAGCGTCTCTCTCAGGGGTTATTGAGCCCTCTGTCCGTGTCCTGCGATTATACGTAGAAAGGGTGTGATAAGGCATTTGCTTCGGCTGCTGTCTTCTCGCTCCAGTGCTGCTACTTCTGCCGTGTGTAGCGCGCCTAAAGCCTGAATTTGTATACTTGTGGTTTAACAATGCATACATGTGTTTTAAATGGCTGCCTCACATAACTTGCGTTCATTTGAAGCATCCCCCGAAATTGCTATAGGGAGCCTAAGGCCCTGTCCACACGTAGCCGGGGATCTGCCAAAACGTAGATATTTTTCTACGTTTTGGCCTGTCATCCACACGAAAACGGAATTTTTTCACACGAAAACGGATCTTTTTAAAAACTCCGGCCAAAGTGAAGATCTGCGTTTTCTCCGTTTTGGGTGTCTGCGTGTGGACGGACAAAACCGGAGTTTTAAGGTCCGCAACGTCACTTTCCGCGACAAAAAATGCTGACATCACGTGTGCGACCTGTGTTTACACTAGCCGACAGCATGGATGCCCTCAGAGCTATGCTCGCTTTATCAATTGTCCAAGCGCTTTTTGCTTGTTTGTTTTTGCAAGCGGAATTACTGCTCCTTGCGGAAGACCACAGACGAAGGATGAGGTTAAGAACAGGGGAAGTACTGCCACCTACAGGTCTGGCATGTCCTTAACAACGTATTTATCTGGGTACGTGTGGACAGTTTTTTTTTTTTAAAACGAGGTGGTGTGGATGCAAGTTTTTGGAGGGGCGGATATTTGTTTTAAAAAAAAACCCGGCTACGTGTGGACTAGGCCTCAGTCTCTTCCCATTCCGGTCAGCTCACGGGTCCCCGGTAGAACAAAAAAAAAATTAATGCAAGTCAACTAAAAACTGTTTTCTAGTCTGCTTTGCCTTGCGCCCTGAATCACACATATGTTGCACTGCAATTTAGATGAAAAGTAAATATGTGTGTTTCAACCATGCCAGTCACATACTTTGAGATTTATCAGCTTGTAAAAATTTGTAATTCCTAATCAGACATTGGCACATGGCGATCACATGTAGTTAATGCAGGGCAAGCAACACGAGGGGAAGTAGCAGAATTTCCTCACACCAGCAAGGCTGTCAGGCAGAGAACTGGCGCCATCCTGTTCAATGTTAGAGGACAACTTTAATGTCAAAGTATAAACACGAAATGAGGAGCATCTTATCTTCTATGTCCCTAAACAGCTACAGTATTTCAAGATGGCTCATGACTACGGAGCGTCGACCGCTGTTTGTGTATATAAAAATATTAAATTTCAAGCTAAAAGGAAAATTTTGAATTGATTTTGTTGAGAATGATTAATGAAAAAAGAACATTTTGTGAATGGATACACATAATTTTATATTAAACAAGTAAAAATATTAGTCAAGTCAAGTCAAGTCAACTTTATTTATACAGCACTTTATAACAGCATAAAAGCTGACCAAAGTGCTTAACAAGACAAAATGAACAGAATTTCCTAAAAAATTCTAAAAACAAGATAAAAAGTTAATCACAAGGTAAAAACATGATAAAACAAACATATCAAACTGACATAAAAGCTACTAAAAACAGATGCATTCTCAAACTGAATTAAAAGCAACTGAGAACAGATGAGTCTTTAAGAGGGATTTAAAACCCGACAGTGATGAAACCATCCTAATCTGAATCGGGAGTGCATTCCACAATCTTGGAGCTGCTACTGAGAAAGCTCTATCACCCCTGAGCTTTCTCTTTGTTCTCGGCACCTCCAGGAGAAACTGGTCGGCTGACCTCAGTGACCGAGACGGGGAGAAAGTTACTAAAAGCTCACACAGATACTGCGGAGCAAGGCCATGTACAGCTCTAAAAGCCAATAAAAGAACCTTGTACTGGACCCTATAAACCACAGGCAGCCAGTGCAGCGAAGCTAAAATTGGGGTGATGTGCTCCCTCTTTCTCGAACCCGTCAATAGGCGTGCTGCTGCATTTTGCACCATTTGAAGACGGGAGAGGTGAGACTGAGGAAGACCAAGGTACAGTGCGTTGCAATAGTCTAGACGTGATGTAATAAATGCGTGAATCACCGTCTCAGAGTCATGACTTGAGAGCAGACGCTTAACCTTGGCAATCCTTCTTAACTGATAAAAACTGGCTTTGGTGACTGCACTGATTTGCTTTTCCAGAAGCAGATCACTGTCAAGCCGGACTCCCAGACTGGTCACTACAGGTTTCAAGAAAAGGGCTAGTGGACCAAGGTCAGAACATGTCCCACTGGACACACTAGGACTAAAAAGCATGACCTCAGTCTTGTCATTATTAAAATGTAAAAAATTTGCAGACATCCAGGTTTTAACCTCATCTAGGCAGTTTAGAAGAGGATCCAAAGAATTGGGTAGGCCATGTTTAATGGGAATATAAACCTGGGTGTCGTCTGCATATAGATGAAAAGAACATCCATGTTTTGTAAAAATAGAACCCAGAGGTAGCAAATACAGAGAAAACAAACACAATACAATGTGTGTATTTTCTGGATGATATTTTTTCCCTTTTTAGACTAAAAATAAGAAAAAAAGTCTAAAAAGTTGACTTATTTTACTTTCTTAGAAATCAGATTTTGCAGTTTGGATGCAAGCGCTATGACTGCTGAATGTCAGGTTCACCTTCTTGTTATTAAATTATTAATGATTATTTTGGAATTGAACTCTTTTTGCTATGTAATAGGCACCATTTTACTAGATCATCATCATCATCATCATTATCATCATCATCAAATAGAGCAGTTGTCAAGAGGAATAAGTAAAATGTATAAATGATTAATTATTAACAAAAATGATCTCATCCTTGTCTGATGATCTGTTTCCTGCTGTCTGCAGGGTTAAGGCCTGAACGTTTTATTTGTGCATTGTAGTTTATTGGGTCTCAATTTGACATCAACACATTTCCTGCTTTTAATTTCTGTGAGCTTAGAATCACTCATTATGATACCGTCCCCCAACCTGGGTTTGACGTATCCTAGGAGGTTGATGGTTTTGTGCCAGAGCACTGGCGGTGATTTTTGTTCATTTAACATTAACTAAAAAGTAACCAGTCGTTCTTTTCACTTTCTTTCCTCATCTTTGCTACTTCCATTCTGTTTACCTGGCTAGATTAGCCTGTTCACCTCTCTGACTCACAGCCAATAAGAAGGGGTTTCCCCTTCACTACCTGTGATTTGTTTAGCCCATGATATGGGAAATGTGTGTCTGTTTTTCCCCTCTCAACCATGCTCTCAGCCCAGTGGTTACACCTAGATCCAGGGGCGGATTTAGGACTGAAGAAGATCCGGGGCTTAACACACACACACGCGCGCGCGCGCGCACACACACACACACATGACACGCACTAGTCAACATCATATATTTGTCTTGTACCATATAATTTTTAATCTGAAGCTACACATTAAGCATTTTCAGGGCAGAGTATTGTTCCTGTTAGTGTTTAGTGTGATAGTAAATATTCCCTTTCTTTCTCCATCAACTTTACCTGATAAGCTAACTTTAGGCAAACCAGCAGCACAACAAACATTTTCAAATAAGTCTCACAAACCAGAGTCAGCACCAGTCTCATCAAAGCTGGAGTTCTGTCGTTGTACTTTTTGTCTAAAAAACGTCCTTATGTCCATCTTCACTCATGCGTTTCAGGCAGAGTGTAGAAGAAACCGGCTGCTGAAGGGCTTCTTCTTCAGTGGTGGAGGCTCAGGCAGGCTGTATACAAACTACTGTCAGCTGCTCCCTCTCTGTTGGACTTTGGTACTGCATGTTACTTCCGCGATTTAGATCCGGGGCTTTCCATGAAATATCCGGGGCTTCAGCCCAAGTAGCCGGGCCTAACGCCGCCCCTGCCTAGATCCACCCTTTCAGGTGCACCATTGAGAAATTAGGTTGCATTTGTGACCTAAGTGGTGGCGCTCTAGAGCTCTGCAGCATGCCTCTGCAACAGAACTTTGTTTTCCATGTGTGAATTTGCAAAAGAAGACCAGATGTGCTTCATAAAACCAGTTTCATCTCTTTGGGGCTGTGAGTTGGCACACACCCACAAACTGAACTAACAAAGCAACGTTGATGATCTACCACCATCAACAAATCTCCTGAAACAAGTACAGCACATGCAATTTCAAATATACCACCCAACAACTCTGGTAGGTTTCTAATTTATTGCTTGTGCCTGGGAACAAAGGAAGTGCATGTCACGCGTGTTGAGACTAAGAGGAAGATAGCTTTGTTTGCTTTGTTTCTTTTTTGCGGTCAATTGCACCTACCTCTAGTGAGACTGAAAGTGCTCTGCAAAAGCCTCTGAAAGGAAGTGGAAGAGTAGGCGAGGTTTGGTTGCTGCAACATTGCTTCTTAATTATGTTCTAAGAGACGTTATTTTTTAAGTGTTTCTGATGGAGATGAGAAGGATGACAGGAGAAGAACCTGATGCTACAGAGTTTTTCTGTGGTTTTTGACCTCTTCACGCAGCTCATTTTTATGGACTGGACCAAACTGCATCAGGTGGATTTTACTTGAGAGTTTTGGGATTGAGCTCTGGAATCACACTTTTTTCCAAAAATACATCTAGAAGAAGAGAAACCAAGGCATTGTCGGGCAAACAGAAACATTTGGATTACAAACTGGGACAATGCCTGTGATTGTGCTAGAGGCCCGGGACTTCACCAGTCCGCTCTTCACGGTGCGAACATTGGAAGTTGTCTTCTGTTGCGCTACCTTCAGTCTCGTAGCTTCACAGGATTCTCCAGAGCGTTCTCCTGATCTGAACACGTTCTGGATCCTCGGTATGTTCACCTGGTGTTTCTTCTTCGTGGTGACTCTCTTCATTCACATTCTCAACGTCATCCAGTTTCACAGCCTCATCCCAATATCGTGGAAGAACCTAACGATGACCGTAGCAGTGTTGGGAGCGCTAATGACCTTCAGCTCCTCGGTGGTTTTTGCTTGGAGGGTCATGGATCATAACAAAGTGTCACCACGCTCTGTGGCGGCTGCAGTCATGTCCTGCCTTTCCGTTCTGGCTTATGCTTCGGAGTCCCTTATGCTTCGTACCCAAGCCCACGACCAACGAGGCTACATGGGCAGCACTGCCGGTCTTCTAAAGATCCTTCAACTGTGGGGAGGACTTCAGATGATTCCGCTGGTTGTGCTGGTCTCCAGACAACACAGTGTAATAGAAGACTGGCATCTGTGGGTGTTGAGCATCTCATGTGGTGTTTGTATCCTCATGTCTCTCATCACCCTGGTGGTGATTCTAGGGGACCTTGCTGGGCGATGCATCCTGCCTTTTGACAGATTTTTGGCCTTCTTCAGTCTGGTTGGAGTTCTGCTCTACATGATGGCTACAGTGATTTGTTTAACCAAGCTACTGCAGCTAAGCATCCAAGACAATTCTGTGTTAGTCATCATGGAAACGGTGGTTTCTAGCATCACACTGTTGGCTTACACGGTGGATCTCGCCTTCTCCATCAAACTACTGTGTGACAGGAATTACATGTGAGGACGCGTGCTTTTTAACCCTCTAGAGGCAGGCGTTGCAGATTTGAAACAGTTAAAACCTACCTACCTGGTTACTCCACACACATATTTCATGAGCATTTCTTAACTCAGAAGTACACCTGAAGGACTTAGTTGTCCGTCCTTTTATCAAAACTTATTTTGAGCCTGAGAGGGTTAAAGTCAAACTGAATGACGGCTTTTGCTCCAAACAGTTTCCCGTAATGTCCAACTGTCTTCTTAGACCAGCGGAGTAATTTGTGGTGTTCTTCTAAATGCTACGTTAAATATGACACACCTGCTATACAGCCTGTTGGTTAGGTGACAGTTTTAATTTTATTGAGGCAATAATATTTGTTCCCCTGTGGTGATTCCTTTTCTCATCCTGAACTTCAAACTTTCAACTATGACTCTAGCATATAAATCCCACAGAAAAAAGCAGAACTGATGGGTTAAATCCTGAATGTTTTTTTTTTCCATTATTTACCTTTATCTACGTTTACTTCAGTTTTGCTGCCATTTGTCAACACTAGGGGGCAACATTACATCAAAGTGTTTTCCTACTCCATAGCAGTGATTTTAAATGTAGGATAAGATGAATGTTTCCTATATCATGAATATATTTGAATTTATAATCTAATAAAACAAGTTAATTGTTCTAGAAGTTTGTGATTAATGATCACACAGAACCTAAGGCCTTAACCTGAGTTCCAGAAATTATCTCATTTATTTTTAATAGTTGAAATTTGTTCAGAAATGTGTAAATAGAAAAACATCCATCATGCATATAAAAAAGTTTATTTTGAGCTGCCAGAATTGCTGGTGTGTGTGTGTGTGTGTGTGTGTGTGTGTGTGTGTGTGTGTGTGTGTGTGTGTGTGTGTGTGTGTTCTTCCATAAAGTTCTTTAAATGTTTACAACTCACATAAAGCACTAATACATGACGCAGTTATGCCACAAAACAATGCTCAGATGTGTCCAAACGTATTTATTTAGTTAACAGTTTACAATCACATCTGTCTCCTCTGTTCTAGGCATGCTAAGTTGCAGCGTCGAAAATTCGATCGCTCACCCTCAAGACCTGTTAACATGCCGCCAATTCATTGCTGGGTTTGATTGCTTAAGCCTAACAGCAGCACCCCAGCGTTTTTTTCTCCTATTTCTTTAAGGAACTGAATCCAGTTAGTTGTCAACAGCCAGAGCGAGAAAACGAGAGTCAACTTTGGTACGTGGAACCGATAAACGGTACTAAACGTTTCTACAACTGAATCATCGAACTCGTTTTGGTTTTGTTCGGTTTGCCTCGACCACAATGACGTTTCCTACCACACACGGTGAGCTATATCTTGATTTTGTTCTTTTTAAAGCAGCATGGCATAGTTCGGGAAGACTTTAAAACCAGTTTGTGGTCAAGTTCGACACGGGAACGTTTTTTCTTGCATAAGATGCTCTTATTGTGTGTATTTGAAGTTGTGTCGGAACCAGCAAAACCCAAATGTGTCGTTTATCCCGTTTTAGCGTGTTTTCAAACCTGCTTTACAGGAAAAGCTAGTTTTACTAGTGTTTTAGACTTTAAGCTAAAGAGTTAAAAAAAACAAGCTAACAGGCTATTTGCTCTTTTAATTTTAATTTATATCAACGCTTCTGAAGGTTATGTTGCCATATGTCGCCTTCACACTCCTTTAATACCTTTAAATATATATAAAATAAACACCTCCTTACTTATTTATTTTTTACTTGGCTTTTCACGTTCTTTGCACATTTTTAATACTATGTATTTTCCTCCTGTTTTTCTTTTTTCAGAAGACCCCTGAGCATCACGGACATGTGAAACTTGATTCTGCTGAAGGCAGATGCAAGTCCCAGGCTGGATTGAATGGCACTGAGTATCCAAGGTAAGCACTTAGCCAGTAAATCTGAACTCATTATTGATCCGTTTCCTGAGCTACAAATGACCTGAGAGGGGGCAAAGTCTAGATTGAGAAAGAGAGCTAGAGGAGAAATGTAGCTCTGAATAACGAAAGGTAGGTTGTAGAAAGGCAGTGTCCTCCAGTTCTTCCAAGGGTTAAAGAAATTTATTTACAGCAATTTGTAATTTTTTTTCCTACTTCAAATGCAGACACATGAGAAGGATTTTAATCGCTGAGTAAAGTTGTGTGTTAAAATGTGTCTGTCCACTGAAGAAGCCACCGTCCTGAAAGGGATCCTAGAATTTAAACCTCATTCATCTTTATCTAACATGGGCAACTTGGGATACTTAATGTACTAAAAAGTCTTTGCTGTCTCCGCCCTGCTCCCCTGTCTGAATTAGTAATGTTGTAATGGCAATGAAGAAATGGTTCCTTCTGAGAAAAGCTGGTTTAACACACCATAAGCATTGACATACACCCTTAAATTACCATGCCCCAATCCACTTCAACGTGAGCCGTATCTAAACGTGGTTGCAGTGATGCTAACTCCACAACAACGCTAGCCTGAGCTACTGCTAACTTCCTTGTTGGACAAGAGGAAAATAACAAGGAAGGATGTTGGAGCCACTCGCGTTCCAGGATGTACTGGGAAAATTCAGACTATGAACAAATGCCTTATCATTGTCCCTCGCTTGTCCACACTGCCATGTCCTGACACCCTCACCCCCATCGGACATTGATCATTTGTGCATGTGTCCCCATCTCACCCACCCTGTGGACACTGTCTTCCTCGTATTAGGCCATTTATCAGGGATCCTGAGTCATTGTGAGCTCTAACACAGGGTTAAATGCTTTTAAGAGGCTTAAAGAACGGTTTCCAATTTTAAATAGGGGGAAAAGCCTTTTGCTAGGATAGTTTGGTTTGTTGTGGGTATGAAAATAAAAAGACATAAGCCATTGGTCCTGTTTTGTGAGAAATACACCTACCCTGCTGGGGGAGGGATGTGTTGATGGTTCAAACTGATCATAGTACTGTAAAGGATCTACCCTCTCACAGATTTCTACTTTTTCTAATCACAAATAAATGTTTCAGATCAGTAAATAAATTTCAATGTCAAAGATACCAGAGTAAATGCTACTGCGGGATGTGCATGAAGTGTTTTTGTAAATGTTTAGAACATTTTTAGAATATGCTGCTTTTTGAGATCATTTGGTATGCTTCCTTATGTCAAACTGACTAATCCGTTTGTCAATGGTAGCTTGTTCATTTCAGTTGGGTGCTTTTATGCAGCTTTTGCTGTTATTTAGGGAACCAGCAGTTAGGAGTAGAGTTACCAGTGATTTAGCAACAAGTTCGATCAGCAGATATGTTAACTTTGACCTTCTTTTTTTCTGGGTTATAAAAAAGTTTAATGTCTGGTTTGTTTTTTTCTCTGTGCTTGGATATACTTGGTTCTATCCCTCAGGCGGAGGAGAAATGCTTTGATTCACCAGATAATCTGTTTTTAAAACGTAGGACTTGTGCAGTGTTTAATGGTCATTTTTCTCTTAAATATTTGGAAATCTTATTTAAAAGTTGTTTTCTTATTATGTTCCTGTTTAGTTATCCAAGAGCAAGGTCAGGTGCTGGTCTGGGTTTATGAGGATTTCAGATTTTTAGAAAATGTGTTTGTTCAACTGCTGTGCAGACAACTCTTATGCAGTACAACATGTTTTAGTATGTATGTGGTTATTATGTTTGTGTTGGAGCTGTGAATTATTGTCTCTTTAAGTGATCCCATTAGACGTAATTCACCAGTAGTAAATTTAAGTGGGTTTTTCTTTGCACATTTTAGTTTTTATATGATGAGAAAAAGCTGAAGAACTTACCAGAACATGATACAAACTGAAATACAGTTTTCTGCTTCTCAAAAATGTAAAGAAACAGAAAACAGACCAAAAATATCTAAATACATTAAAGTTCTGAAAATGAAATGAAATGTGTAATTATCAGAAATGCTGTTAAAATCCGGTAGTCCAAAGTCTTTCATCTTTTAGAGAATAGTCTAAAGATTGCCCAATAGGATAATTATGTCAGGGCAGATTGCTAAAGAAAAGGAGGCTTTAAAGAATATTCTTTAGACAATAAATCCGAATTTTAAAGGACCTTAAAATCAACAACAAGTTAGGCCAGTTGTTGCTCGGCAACACACATGAGATGGGAGGGAAGGGGCTTTAATAATCTTTGTTTTTGTTAGGTAAGTAACTTTTGGCATAACAAATGAACCGTATACTTGATAGGAAAAGAAAACAATCGGACACATTCTTTTATATTTCACTATCAAACAAAAGGGAATGTCTGTTTACAACATAAAGAGCATTATTGTTTATATCCACAGAAACGCCATGTTTTAAACTAAGATAAATGGACAAAAACATCAAACGAAAAGCAGAAACAGATTTTATCACTTGTGAGAGATTAGCGGAGGTTTCTGTCTGAAGCAGCAGGTGCAGATAAAGGAAATATCACACTTTAACACGTCACGTCAGCTCCGCCGGTGCATAACGGAAGGATTTGTGGGAGGATCTGCGTTTCCTGTTACTGTCTGTTTTATAAAAATAAATGTGTTGAATAATAATTAACAGTAGCTGATGTCACTCGTTAGTTTTTAAATGTTTGGAGCTTTGTTTAAGAAAATCATAGCAGCTCATTGGAGTGGAGAACTCTTTGCTTTAAAAGCCAAACATTTTATTCTGCTTTTGTTTCCATGCAGATAAACGGGTAAGGGCCGTTTTCTTTTTCTTTAAGAGAGTGGGTCTTTTTCATCTTTCACTGATACATGACAGCATGTGCAGCTTATCTTGGTGAAGTCCTCGACCTACAGCTCTGTTGACCTAGGAGCTCAGACCCAACTCTAAATGTTTTATTTGGTTAAGATTTTATCAGTTTGGCCTCAGAAATTCTAACGTTAAAGGTAAAACACACATGATGCATTACAATGACGTGAGTATAACAACTAGTGTTAAATTGATAATGTCTCATTAAAATTATTTTTACAACACATTGCAGTGGGAAATATAAGATTAAGCTGGACTTTTTGTATCATTAAAGGTATAAATGTCCTCCATCAGGTCAGAGTTTGAAACAAAGATCATTTTTTTTGTGATATAATGGATTTATAGTTGTTTTGGTGACATTTAAAAAATATCATCATGCACATTACCACAAGATTTCACATGATCTGTTTTGATTATGTGTTTTTGATGAGTCTCAGCGTAGAGTTGTTGTTCTTGTTTTCTAAATCGATCAGCGGTGGTGTCCATCTTGAATGGGGTTCCCGCTCACACACAAAAACACTAAAACCATGATCTTCTTGTCATGTGCTAACTCTGTTTGGCGTTTGGCCCTTAAGCGTTTTGTGGTTTTCGGGCTCCAGACTTTTGGCTCATTTGGGCTGAATTCAAGCAACATATAACTCGTCTCTTATTTCCGAGAGGTTTTCCTTTAGTTGTTTTGTGTCTGATGTGTTCAGATTGACTCTACACGTTTAAGAAGACTTGATAACTAAAGTCTACATGTCCACAAGTGTGCAGGTATTCAGAATAAAACTGCACACAATCTTTACAATAAAGCTGTTCACCCATTACCACACGGGTGTAGTCAGCATTTTTTTAATCAGACCAATGTCCAAGGTTTTGTTGGACATGTGGGTGGGTCGGGATTTCCACAAAAGCATTTGTAGGTCGTTATCGATAAAACGATCTAGTATAAGTGAAACACCACAAGGGATCAATATTTTCTGTCAACTCAGATTTGCACTAAGAGTTGTGAAGCTAAGATGTCTGAGACTCTTATTGATGAACATTTCTGAGAGGGTATGAAACTGTGACAGAACACCCGCTTGCAGCATGTTTCCACTGCTGTCTCCTGTAAGCCAGCAGCAGTCGTCACGCTCCCGTCACCTTAATGATCACTTGTTACCAACAGAACGAGATGGATCCAAGGTAGGAGGTGGAGAAATGTGTAAATATAGTAGGTCTATAAATAAATGTCCTGTTTCTCACTTGATTCTGAGACATAAAGCTACAGCGCCTTCAGGGATGGCAGCACGAGAGCAGAATTGCTGAAAACACACACAATGTCTGAAAATCGCTGGATGCTTCTGGGATTTTAATTTGGGCCCTTAGGAATAATGCAGCAGTCTGTTGTTTCACTAAAGCAGCTTCTGTACAGTTTCATGCAGTCGGTCACCATTTCAGGCTTCAATGAGCTGCTCTCACACTCACAACAAAGCCCTCTTTTGTCATTACGGTCTGCCAGAGAAAAGCTTTGGCCAGTTCGTCCAACACAAATGATTATAGCATTCCAAGAATTTAATTAGTTTCACGTTGATTTGTTGTTGACCGGTACAGAACTACTGTTACTTTTTACTCCACATTTAAACTAAATCCAACTTTGGATATAAAATGTTCTAAATGGTTTTCTTATGTGATCTTTGCAGTAGTGTTATTGTTGTATTTCTCTGGTGGCGTTTCATCCTGTTATTGGGTTTTGGTCCATGTGGGCCTCAGAAACTTGCTCTTGTTGAACTGATTGAAGTGGCACAAAATTTAATTACTCCAAAAAGATTATATTGCTGCTTTTTGCAGTCGTGGCAGACGTAATTAGAAACTGGGAGGACAATAAATCCCAGCTCTCTAACAGAACACGAAAATCTCTTGTGGTCAAACCCAGTCTTTCTGTGAAGTATCTGTGTTTAGAGGAAACCGATGAATGCAACATGTTGATCTCTGCCTGTATCTGGAAATCATTTGGTTTAACAGAGGAGTTTTTGTGGAAGGGAAGCAGGAAGTTGGTTTTGGGAATTTCAGAGTTGGACCAAATGGAGCTTAATGTGCAGATGATGTCCTCAAACACACAATTCCTAATTTGTCTTGGTGGTTACAGATCCTTTGGTTTAGTCTTCACGTGCTTTAGGTAAATTTTCTTTCAGATATAGACGTTT